TTTAGTTAACCTTCTTATGGCCAAAATGAATGCATATTTTTGTTTTTGTATTGATGTAAAATCAATTTAAAAACATGTTTTCACCTCCTTTAGATTAAAATATCTGAAAATATTATTAGAATAAACAAACCAGAACAGGAACAGAGGGTTGGACAGAAGAACAGGTGTTCTGTTGTAAACAATGATCTCCATTTATTCACTGGGTTGCTGATTGCCTAAAAAAGGTGAAGCCACCGTCCACCATGTTGGTACTCCCCACTCCCACAGAGGCAGATAGTACAGTCTGCAGACTACCATTAGTCTGGCTATCTCAGACTGACTGGAAGACATTGACTGAGTTAGAAAATAGAAAGTAGAGGAAATAGAAAGCAATTCACTAAAATATCATGTAATTCTTTCTTTATTAAATGGATGATGATGTCGTTTTTGTATATACATATATATATATATATATATATATATATATATATCATGTATTACCAGACATGTAAGAGGTAATTATGGTCACAATATAATTAATACATGTATATTATTCTGCTACATTAACAATTTTATTGTGATTGATTTGTATAATCTGTTATATTACATGATTTATAGACTTCATAATGACTATGCAATGTTGTGATGGTGTTTACATTACGACCGGTCTAAATAGGGAGTACCAATATGGCGGCCGGTGGCTTTACCCCAACCCCGTACTACCAACAGGCAATCAGCAACCAGGGAATAAATAGAGATCAGAGGTTGTACAGTTCTTCACAAACCACCAGGTGGCGGTAGAGGCGCACCAGCAGCAGGAAGTTTAAGAAGAGAGGAAAGGTGGTTTCTTCTAAGTATAAATAGACTAGCTTGTTTCTCTCATTGTGCCTTTTACTCTATTTTCAAATAATAAACGGAAATTTTAATTCACCACAAAAATGTAAAATCTGCAGAGTGAGAAAAAAAACTGCATTACATATAAAAATATGTAAAGAAAGAAAATGGCAAAAAAAATGCTATAATCAATAATGTTAATAATAATAATAAAAGATTTCAATTCAGCAATGAATAAATTAATTTATGTGCTCATTGATCAATCAATCTAATATTCAGCCGTAGACCGACCATCCATCCATCCATCCATCCATTTGTGCCTCATTCATCAATAAATGTGATCCTGAACCTCAGAAGCAGAGGCAGAAAAAGCAGGAAGGAAAACTTGCAGGTGATGGAAGCAGCCCTGCAGTTTCAGCCCTGCAGCTGCAGCTTCAGGCCTACAGCTGCAACTTCAGCCCTGCAGTCGCAGCTTCAGCCCTGCAGCAGCAGCTTCAGGCCTGCAGCTTCAGCTGCAGCTTCATTCAGAGGAGAACAGAGACTGACCTCCTGAGGGGCTGCAAGTCAACAGGGTGTCCACAGGTGAGCGGCCATCTTTCTGTGGTTGAATACTTATTGCTGACCAGCAGGAGAGAAGGGGGGGGACAAAGCAGTGCCATGCCCCCCCCTTCGGTCCAGTGTCTGCAGGCTGGGCTGAGACAAACAGGTCTTTCCAGCCTTGAAACCTTTAATCTGGAGAAGACACAACTGCACTTTCAAACACTGAAGCACAGACTAAACACAAACTGCTCAGACTAAGTTAAGGTCAGATTAGTTTGTTAGTCAGACAGTTTTGATTGTTCTATTCTAAACATGAAAAATAAAAGCTGTTAATGTTCCTCTGCTGCAGGGTCAGACTCCTGTGGGGGAGTCAGTGCAGAGTCCCGGCCCTGGTTGGATTTGGGAGGAACTTCTTTGGTGGAAATATGCGGGTCACAGCAACCTGGGGTTGCCTTAGCAACCACTAAAGAACGTGGAGTTGCCCTGGCAACAGATGAAATGAGGGGTTACCCTGACAAAAACGCTACAGGAACTCATTTAACAAATCCTCGCTGTCCTTTTTCAGACAGATAGCTGCAGACATGACAGTATTAGCAGTGAAAGGCAGAGACGCCTTATTTTCAGAAACACAGACTAAGTCCATTCATGTGCCGATTCAGACCCAACAATGTTTACAAGGAAACACAAATTATTCAAACCCTCTAACCCTCTCCTTCTCTCAACAAATGTGAATAGGTCA